ACAGTATAAGCGAAAGATTGGTAATGGAAAATAAAAAGTGAAAGTTTAACATTTATACAAAGTCTTATTTCTCAAGCATCATAAAGGCAATTTTGATAAATTAAAAAATTTTATGCCTAACAAAACGTTATTTAAACAAATACTGGTTAAATGTCATCATATTTACACTTATTATAGCAATTTTAAAATCATCTATCAGAATTTAACAAATTATAATTTTACCTTAAACGTCAAGAATACTTAAATTTACTGTTACTTTATAATTATCCTGACTGATTACCCTGCAGTGTTTTGGAAGGAAGGTAGGACAAAATTGGAAGAATTGTAAAAAACTAAAAATATTTCTACATGGTTTATTTACGAAAAGATAAGTAAGCAATTAGAAATGATGAGTCTAAAAAACCTAATCCGTAGATTATTTGCATCAGAAGAGTTAAAGGTCATAAGGTCACTCACAGCTAAGAGTCATAAGGTCATTTAGACTAAGAAGCTAATTTTTTCTTTGTTTCTCATCCTGAAATACTAGAATATGTTCATATTTATTGTTACATTAATTAAAATGTTACAACTCATATCTTTTCCATTCACTAAGTAAGATAAACCGACCTTTTTACGCTTTCTGGATTACCAAGTCATTTTCTGGTTTTCCAAATGATTTTTCCCCCAGTTCTTTTTTCAGCACAACATTATCTTTCGACCTAACATTCAATCTGTAAGTTTCAAGTTAAGCCAATCGTGATTTTATATATATATATATCTTTTAGATACATCTAATCCATTAACATTTCCAAAAAAACAGTGCTTACATTTTCAGCTACGAAACAATTCTCAGTTTTAGGTTCCTGAAGTAATTTAAACTTAATAAGTTTAAATTTAAATTTAAATTCACGTAAATTTTAAACCTAGCGAAATAAAATTAAAAATCTTAGCCAGAAGTTTGTAATTACTCTTTATTATTGATTCATCTTACATCTATCTATCATTTTATCACCAATTCTTTTCACTGTTAACATATCTATTATGTTATCGATGTATCTGTCCGTTTTGTTTGTTTTTGTTGAATCATTTCTTTGCTAAATTTTTAAAAGTTAATTTAATTTTTCACCTTTTCTTCAAGAGTCATAAGAATCATACCATCAAATGGTAATAATTTAAGGCTGAAAAATGAAGCCTAGAAAGATACTGATTAGAATAATTACAGAAAAGAATGAACTTTTTTTCATTTCAAACATTTCATCCAAATCATCTGTTATTTTCTCAATGTCTTGACTAAAGACTCGGTTACACTTCAAATAAACTCATTTCAAGCACTTTTTTTTTAATCCTTAGAGGACTGACTCATTTTGGAGCCTCAAAATCCTTTCAAATTTTAGTCGATAATCAAGCCAAAACTTTCATTAGTAATATAGCCTAAGCCAATACATTATCGATAGCCTAGCTATAGATAGTTAAGTGAAAAGGATTCAACTAATGGAGAGAATGCTGTTATTGAGAAATAAATACTTTCTCAATCATTTACGATTGTCACTTCATAGCTTTCAATTACGATTACAATGTCACACTAAACGAACACAAATTTTCGTTGCAAATAATCGTTTCTTCTTTCCTCTTTTATAAAAAAGAGAAAAAAAAAGTTATTTAAACTGCAAATTTGAAAAATAACTTGAAAATTTATATATGAGAGAAATAAAGAGATAGAGGAAGAGCAAAAGGAGGGAAGTCTTCCGCTGTCCTTTACCTTTTATGCCCCAAAATTTGTCACCCTTCTCCCGCTTCATCTCATCTCCCCTTCTCCTACTTATTGATTATATTCTACAAATAGGTCAATTAGTTACTGTTGCTTCTGTTACTGTTCAAAAAGAAATGACAGGTAATATAACGCCACTTTTTTTTTCAAACTTTTTTTTGATATTTCATTTACGAAACAAAAGGATTGATGTAAAAAGAGGAGAGAAATAAATTTTTATCAAATTTTTCAAAACCATTTCCAATTAGCCAATAATCTCTATTGTTTCTGTCACATTCTTTTCCTTCACTTTTCAATCACTCATTCAATTTATTGTGCATTCTTTTTCTGCTGCATTTTTTCTTTCTATACAAAATTCTAGACAATTAATTTCTCTCTCCACTTCTTTCGGTATAAAATATCACATCTAACAGTCAACATTTCATTCTCTCTATTTTTCTCACATTTTCATTAATCACCGTTATCATGTCATTACAATATATCGATATTATCATTATCATTATCATTATCATTACAACATTAACCAGCGCATTACTTATCAGAGGTAACATATTAGTTAGTATAAGTTGGTACAAGTAAAAGGTAAAAAAAAAGGTAATAGTTCTTGATTTTCAGTTATTCAAATCTTTCAACGTAATTCATAGATGTATGGATCATTATCAATTATCGATTAGATTTACAAACACTTAATTTTAAATACAAATAATAAAGTATTAGGCTTCAGGTAATTGTGCAATCCTTTCCACACCAGTTTTATTCTATCGTTCCTTTTCCTTTTTATTTTCTATCGATTCATTATTTTTAGAATTTTTTAAATTGAAATTTTAGAACTCGACCACATCAGTTATACTCAAATATGACAATTTATTATGATAAGTAAAAACAGGAATGAAGAATTAGGCGAGAAAATTTTAAAAAAGAAGAATTAATGAGAAAAATGAATGATTATTATCATCAACACTTATAAGGTTGTCGAGTTTTAGTATGAAATTTTTTTTAATTAGGAATTAGCAAAGATAGACGATATAATCTTTCCATTCACCCTTTCTATAAATCGTTATCATTATCATTCATATCATTTCACACTTATTGATGTGATAAATAAACCAAATCATGTGTCACATTGCTATCATTCATTTCTACATATCACCTTTAATTTCTTTAGTTATGATCAGCCAAAGGTAACAATCATAGACTGGATAACTTATCACAATATCATCCATGATCTTTAACCTATATGCATTCACAAATTATTCAAAAGAATTATTCTATATATCCAAAATCATATGATCATATAACAAAATTCTTTTCAGTTTTTCCTCAGTATCCATTGTTATAACAATTTTCCTTTCTTTGCCTTCTTTTTCATGCTCTCATCATTTCCTCCAAATGTTCCACTTCGAAAATGACACCAATGAATTAAATTAAAGAAAGAAAAAAAGAAAATCGTCTTTCTCTCTTACTTCCTCATTTCTTACTTCACATTTCACAATTAACACGCATATTGTCATATAGTATTATCTCAAATACTTTTAAACTTACGCCTAACATTGTGTGACCATATGTATAACTTATCTGAGATTACATTGCCACGTGTAACTTATCTTTTCTCTCTACATATGAAAATCATATGACTTTCCTATTATAACATTCTTTACTACTTTTGTTCAGTATCCTCTCATTAATTGTTATAATGATTTTCAGTATCATCCGTGACCTTTGCCCTCTGAGATTACATGATCATGCGTAATATTCCAGATGCATTGATAATATAAGTCAAGGATACGTATCCTTGCATTTACCGTATAAGAATTGTATGTTGTTGGCTTCTTCGTTTCCGATTTATCTTGCTGACGTGTATTGTTGCGGTCAACGATTGAAGTACAACGTGATATTTTCTGATTTGCGTAACATTTCTCCTTTTAACTGCCACCCGACGTTTTACATCAGCCTAGAACGTATTACGTGTTACGAAACACGTCAGATTAATGCCACGTAGAAATTACTCGAGTTCGGATTATGAAGCGCGTAATTGGACTGCGTTACATATTGCTTCGTTTGGGATTGTGTCATTTGGGGTTGTCTCATTTTGTGCGATGTTTGGGATTATGTGATGTTGCGTGTGGTGGAGTGTTGTTTCACGTGTTTCACGTCACATATCATTCAAGGTTACATCACTGCATTGTATTATTTAAGACTGTTTTGCGTCATATGTTATTTATGATTGTATCATGTATTGCAGGATTAAATTTAAAAGGAAAATTTTTTGACTGCATACTTCGATTGCTCTTTCTAAGTAAACAATAATTAACTTCATTTTGAGGAGTTACTCCACAAAACTTTGCACTTTTAACTAACAGTATTTTAATTTTTCCTTCTCTTTTATGAAAATGAAAGTTTTTCAGTTTTTCATCTCCGTTCCAACTTCTCCAACGATAACTTCATCTTTCTTTTATACACTTTATCATTCGTATATCATTTTATCACTCGTATCACATTTGGTGATAAAAAAGATAATAATAGATAGTGACTGAAAGAGATTAATTAGATTAAGTTAGCTGAGAGAAATTAAAGAATGAGAGATAGAATTAAATTTATTTCTCTCTGTAATTATTGATTGATGTCATTATGACAGTTAGATTAGCTATTACTGGTTTTTATTTTTATCGATCATCTACTTTGTTCTATGACTTATTTACTTATCTGATTACACTATCAAACTGTACTAAAGGATTCAAATAGCTAGTGTTATAATCATATCAGTAAGTATAATAGGCAATTTAATTCTAACGTAACCTCAGATATCCTTGATATTGTCATCACTAAAGTGAGGGAGAACCCGGACTGTAATAAAGGTGGAATGGAGATGGTACTATGTTGATGGGAAAAGAAAGGGCAAGAAAAACGTCGTTCTTTTTCACAATCTGAATATTCTGAAAACAAAGAAATGATAAAGTAGCATCGATGTCATCTATGTGTCAATTTAATTTGTTGCTCGATTATAATTTTTTTCTCCATCTCACTTCCTTGTGAATGCGTTAATTATATTTGATAAAAAGTTCTTTCCGTTCAACCAGTTATTGTGGTGAATTGTATCTGTCATCCTCGTAGAGTATCATTGCAGCCTTATTTTTGCAGAATTCACTTCCTTTTCTTTAATTCTTATCGCTAAATTCTGTGTTCCTTTTTATTTATGCATTCATTAGTATCACAATAGTATAATTTATACCAAGAAATTTAAAAGTTACAGTATATGGCACCAAAGCTGGAACAGTTAGGCCCTTGTACTTCAAATGGTAATCAAAATAATGAAAATACGGATGATGCAGCAGCCGCAGAAGTTTTGCCGGGCATTCTGTACGAACCGTACAATTTTCGTCACTATACACCAACCCTTTATCTTGGCAAGGTAAGGTAATCTTCCTTTTCATACAGATAGAACTAAGTGATACCTTAAGATCTTTACGTCTAAGACTTTGTTATGCTTTTTAGTTTAGAACCCTTTCCTATCACTGTCGATTCAGTTTACTTTTTTTAACCTTTATTATCAATTATAATCTGCTGTGTTCGAATGTTTGTATTCTGAGAGATACAACAAAATCTGAACAACAAACTCTTTATCCATTACTTACTCTATACCTATTATTTATGTTTCTTTTTTTCTTAAGGAGGTTTTTCTTACTCCTTTAACTCTGCTACCATTATTTTTCTGCTACTGTTGTTAATTGAAGTATCCAGCAGAATGCAAAGTTCAGATTTTGTCAAATGGAAGCAAAGACAGAAGGGTAATTTGCACTATTTAAGGGAGGTTTTGCACGTTGTTATGCAGCAAAGGACTCATCGTCTGCAGTGGAAGTGGCGTTGAAAATTGTTCCGAAAAGTCGTCTCACTAGGCATTCACAACTGGAAAAGATGCGCAAAGAGATAGCGATCCACGAGTCATTGAACCATCCAAATGTGGTCAAGTTTTTGAGCTGTTTCGAAGATAATATCAATGTCTATATGGTTCTTGAACTTTGTCACAATGGAACCCTCCTTTGTCGCATCCAAAATGCACCTGGTTTGTTGCCCTTCCTGATACGTAAACAAAAATAAATAGGAAAAAACAGTTATTTCATGCTTTTTCATTTCATTGTCGTATGCATCATCTAGTACTTTGGATATCTTTCCGAAATCGCAGATTGGTTTTACCGTCAAACAATTTAGTCGTGAAATTCTATCGCGTTCTGCATATCATTGATATTCGCTTTGGTTTGCTATTCACTTGCAAGTATCATAAAAGCCTTAAATCAACTTGTTATTATGTTAAGGCAAAAGAAAAATTTTGTCAAGCTACTATTAGCAGTTTTTTTTTCCCAACTAAATGTCTACAATTATTCAAAATAGCGAGACATATAAAGAAAAAGAAATGTATCTTAATTAGGTTACTATTATTATATATTAAGGATAGATTTTTGTAATGTTTGGGGATTCCGCTGTCAGATTTTGTTAACTATAAAAGTTCTTACCCTATAGTTGGCATCGGCAGGTGGACTATTCAATTAACCTCGTTATCTACTCAAATAAGTAAGTAGACAAATAGTTCACTTCCCTCTCTCCTTTTCTTTTCCTCACAACTTTTCTATACATTTCTCTCTAGGAGGACGACTGAGGGATCACAGTACCCGGATGTATTTACCACAAATTGTTGATGCTGTCACATATCTACACGAACAAATTGGCATTTTGCATCGTGACCTGAAACCTGGTAATGTTCTTCTTTGCAATAATGATCAGGTGATTTTAATTTTCATTTATCATTTTATCAGCTGTTAATTTGAACATTATTTTCTCAATACAGTCTGCTGAAAAAATGTCAAATTGGCTTATGGTCAATTTCTGTAATAAAGAATTGATTGTTATAACAACATTCTGCGTGCAGTTATTGATTATATATATATTCCTGAACTAATTGTTCATGGCAGTTATTGAATAGGAGCGAGAAATTGTCTATTCGGAATCCTTTTTTTTCAAAGTTTTATCAGGAAGTTGATTCCAGTTGATGGATCGCATGTACACTTTTCCCTTTTCTCCTTCTTTCTCAGATGAAATTCCTTGCTTGTCCAAAGTTTTGAATATTGTCGGTTTAGTTATAGAAATTGAAATTACAGGTGAAATTGGCAGATTTCGGATTGGCTTTGAAATTAAGCGACTTACCACATTCCTCGTTAAATGTTTGCGGAACACCAAATTATCTTTCGCCGCAGGTATGCACCCGTCTTTCTTCTTTTTTTTTGTTTATAATGCAAAATTTTCGTAACATTTTACAGTTTTAAACTATCAGTTTCCTTCTTTCTTTCCCGTTTCTTCCCATCATCTTTTAAAATTTATTAGAACTATTATTTTCTGTGAGCTTCTATTCCATTCATTCTTTTTTCTACATACAGTTTATCACCTGTTTCCTTCTACTTCTAATGTCGCCTACCAATTCCATTTTTTTCGAAACGGTAAATAAGTCACACCTTATCTTTTTTTTAGTCTCAAGAATTTCATTGAACTTCTCCGGTAGTTTTTTAATTTTGTCAAAATTATTGTTTCTTTACTGAAATTTAATGTGGCATTGATAGAAAGTAATGAAGTGATGTTTTGCGAGTCAGGTAATATTTGCTACAGTGCTGTTGCATACTTCGATGAACAAATAATTAAAGACTTCACATAAGATAATTATGTCTGTCCTACTTTCTGGTCGATTTTATGACTATGTTCATGAAAAAGTTTATGTTTCATAATTAGTTCATTAGATCGCATCATTTTCAGGTGGATGATCTTTCGGTTCACATTACTTCTCTTGGTTATCAATGCCATTAATGCAGCATTGAAATGCGTTTTTTTTTTTCATTTGACGTTTAATACACCCAATTTCTGTCAAGTTTAGTGAAAATTTTTGTAAAATTGAAAAAGAAATAAATGAAAATAAATTTTTCAGGTACTTAGACGAGAAGGTCATTCGAAAGAATCGGAAGCTTGGTCTATTGGTTGTATACTGTATTGTATGTTGATCGGTAAGCCACCATTTGAGGCTGATACATTAGAAAAGACTTATGTCAAAATAGCATCATGCGACTATTCATTTCCGCTTAAACCGAAAATTTGCACTTCTGCAGAGGATCTCATTTCAAAGTAAGTGATATGTGTATGTTGAAACAATTTGTTTTGTTACTTGTTCAGTTGATATTCTCGATAACCAGCAGGCGATTCACATTATTGAGTGGTATTAGTGGAAAAGAAAATAATGACTGGCTCTTCTTGGGAAGAAAATCACATGATTATTTCTTTCTTCACTTTTCAGGTTGCTCATTCCGGATGCAATGGTTCGAATGAAAATAAGTGATGTCAAGTATCATCCATACTTAAGCAACAAGAATATTGCGGAGTTAGTTTGATAACTTTAAAATTCGTGCCAACATCAGCAGCAATAATTCGCATAAGATTTAGTTTACTTCTTAATCGATGGCTTGCCTTTTATACGACTTCAAGCAACTGATGTAGGGAAAACAAATTATTCTTTGTTTCGACAGATCTGTCAAGATGATTTTTCGAATGCCGGGCATGTTCGGTGCGAGAGGTAGCTAGTAGTTAACAACACAGACAAATGTTTATAATATTCTTGCGGTAAAACATAATTTTCTACGGAACGACTTTTACCTGCTGTAATAAGATAGTTTGGTTGATATTGGATGCTTGAATTCTTTTTTGATCAATTCGCGTTTAAAGTTAATAATATTTTAGAATACAAGAACCATACTCGGTAAAAACGAAAGGAAATAACATATTCCACTTATCTAGGACAACAAATTTTGATCAAGTATGTTGTTACCTATTTTCGATCTAACATTTTTGTCATAGCGATAGCTCTATCTAAACTTCGTAAGCATAAATACTTTTATAAAGATCAAGTACTGTTATACGTAAATATGACTTCTATCTGACGAGTTCTCGTTTTTCAGTTCTTATTTCTGCCGGTGGGATTCTTCCAATTTTTCATTATCTGGAAATTGCAGGGCTTTGGAGGAGGCTGCAGCATTGCTGATTCTGGAATTGGCTCCGATGGGTGCTTAAATGCTCGGCCACGATCACTTTCTGACTGTAAAGCTTTGTACAAACAATTGCTACTGGGCTGCTACACTGGTACTGTCATAATGACTATCTAAGACACATTTGACTAAAGATGTTTTTATATAATTTTTTTGAAAAAATTTATTGACATCATTGTCAAAATTGTTTTTCCACACATATACACACATATACGCTGATTTGATTTGCCCGAACTTATAATAAATGTTGGACGCATTATAAGTGGTTTTATTTTAGTATCAGATGAAGCACCCCGTCTGTCAGATTTCCAATTGAATATGGTGAGCAAATGGGTGGATTATACCAATAAATACGGTTTTGGCTGTGTTCTTAGCGATGGTACCCACTGCACTCTGTTTGTCGATAATTCTTCTGTTTCCCGCAGGTAGTTTTCACGTTCTTATGACTGAACCGTATTTCACTGGTAAATTGAGTATGATCGTTAAGGATCATTCGTTGCATGTTTCACTTGGTGATGTTACTGTTACATACAGATTTCAGTTTTTCTATGCATGCTAGTGAAGGTGATTATATTTTATTGTTTCATTCGTTTTAATTTCGAATTTTCTTAGGCATGCTATAGAAAAAGAAGCTGAGCGGTATTTGATGATATCTGATATAGACCAGGATCCCTGGACTTTCGTGGAATGGACTACTCTGGATACTATCAGTGATCAACGATTGGCAAAAAAAATCCATGTTGTGGAACTTTTCAGGTTGCATCATTACTATTTTTCACTTTTTCAAATAAGTTATTTTGGAAATTTGTTAGAATTCATAAGAAATTTGTTAGAAAATTTCCTACTAGAATAATCTGGTAGGAAACTTTGTTAAATCAAAAGATTTGATACATCGCTAATGATATTTTTAAAATGATGTATAAGTGTTTTTTCTTTAATTAGTATTGATTTTGCTCCTTCCGCACGTTTTCCTTTTATATCTTATCGTGTTTTTGATCTTGTTGGCGGATGATATGCCGACTAATCCTGATATTTTATATGTGTTTTGCAGTGATTATATGGATAAGGAACTTCAGCCTGTGTTTGAGCACAGCTGTATTCGCCAACAGCTAGATGCCTTGGTCTATCAAAAACGACATAATGGAGTATTAGTAATGTTTCTCGCTTTGGGAACTATTCAGGTCATTTTAATTTATTTAGGTCTTAAGAAATGCTGCTTTTGTGCGATCTGTTAAAGTTCTTATAATTTTGTATTACTGTTAGGTTGACTTAACGTACGCAAGTAATAGTGAACCCTAACTCAAGTCTTGCTCAACATTGCTTACATTGATCTTCTATGTTTAAAGTTAGGCAGAGGATTAAACTTATGCTATAATCCTTTTATAAGAGATAGGGTCTTTTTCATGAAAGTGAATCTCTTTTTATTTTGTTGCAAGGCCTTCCTGTTCATTCTTTCGGCTTAATCATAAATATAAGGGAAGCCCACGAATAAACGTAACATTAATCACATTGGTACACACTTGCATTTTATGACTGTTCATAGCTTGGCTTACATTTTATTGTACTTTTCGGTTGTAATATAAGGAGAATATCGTATTTTTTCTAGATTAATTTCCTGGAATCACACGAGAAATTGGTTATTAGTCGAGATGAACATGGTCGTTTACTGCTCACGGTAATCAAACGATGCGTCGGTTTCCGTACATATCAGCTACTTCCTTATGCTTCAACACTTACTCGCCCAGACTGTCAAAAAGTTCAACAGCTACTGAATAAGGCTTGTCAGCTTCTGGAAGGCGAGAAAGCACTATTACAACGAACTTACTGTGCTACCCAGTGTTAACTGCAATTTTCTAAAATCATAATCAAGATAGTCTTCGGTCACACATGATACTCTGTTAGAAATGCAACTGCCCTAACCGGAAGCGGGTTTCTCTCTTATATGTGCCTTTCGTTGCTTAGTGCTTTGCCACTTTTTCTGTTTTCTCCTTTCGGTTCATTCTTGACTACTGTTTTCGATTCCATCAGTATTTTTCTTTTCTCGATGATGGCGAAAGTGCTGCTACCACGTTATAAGATTGTCCTAGGGAATTTTGCAGGAATTCCGGTATTATCGGGTTCGAAATGTATAAAATGTCACCTATCATTGTACTTTGTTATTAAGCCAACAAGGAGTCTCGGTTACATTAAGATCACATATGTTTAAAGTATATGCAACACTTGCTTTTCCGTCCATGTTTATTTTGATCCCTTCATATTCCTTTTTTCTTTTTGGGAATTCTATCATAGGATTATTTTATTATATGAAAATCCATATTTGTGTTTTGCATAGGTTTTTTATCAATTTTTTTTCCATTTTTTAGTTGTTATTTGATCAGATTTAATTATATTTATTAGCTTTGTCCAGTTCTTATATTGCCTTGCATAAATAGCAGTTGTTCGAGAAAAGTTAAAATTAAATTTGGAAAATCCCTCCCGAAAATTTTGATGGAAGAAAGCAACCAAAGAATCCGAGAAGATGAAGCTGAAAAATGTAGCTATCAGTTTCTCTTACTTCCTACTGTCTTTTTCGACTTGTACTTTTCTCGTCTTTCATAAATTCATTGAAATTCTCTCTCTCTTTCTATCCTTTTGAATCATTAGCCGTTGCTATTCCAGAACATTCCAGTATTTTCTCTTCAGGGTTTTCAAATTTTCGAGGATAGAAAAATCGGCTTGACCGGTGACATATCTTTCAAGTATTTGCAGTTTTCAGAGATTTTTCAGAAAGATGCGGCAAGAATTGATTGAAATAGTACATCGGAAATTACCCATGACTTCTACTCTTGCTTTCCAGAGCGACATTTTACTACAATAGAACTTTTCAATGTCCCTTATTCCAAGATATGGTTTCATATACGTGTATGACGTTTGTTTGCTTAAATACGTTGAACTGCCTTTAATTTTTCATGTTCTTTTGATATCTAACGGTGATTTCTTCGTTCCTTTTTAATATTTTTCTGTTTAGTTTGGTTATTCTGATGAATAAAATAACAAAATTATCGATATTATTAATGCATAAAGATGAAAAACTTGAGCAACAAGCTATTATATAACAAATTTGCAGCAGTCATTCATTATGCGGCATAAATGAAGCAGTTAATGATGTCTTTAGAGAAAATTTAAAAATATTAAGATTACTCAGACTTTCTTCAGTTCATTTCACTTAATCTTATTTAAATGTTTATAAATTAAAGATAAAGACATCGTATCTCATCTTCTTCAAACCTAAATGTGATCCGGTAATTTCACATGCACCACTTTTTTTTATTTTCTTTTAGAAGGTTAGGGGATTCCTCATAAAAAAGCTCGCAATACAATGTTTAAAAATGATCTTATATGAGGAGTATTATCTGTTGATAAATTGCAATAAGACGACTAAAAGTCTACAAATATTTTATACATATCTGCCTGATACGATAATCATTGTTAAGAGATAAAGTTATTTTTGATCTGTCTGGTAAAATCATTGTTAAAAGATGAAGTTGTTCTTGATCTGTTTGATAAAATCATTGTTAGAAGATGAAGTTGTTCTTGACCTGTTTGATAAAATCATTGTTAAAAGATGAAGTTGTTCTTGATCTGTTTGATAAAATCATTGTTAAAAGATGAAGTTGTTCTTGATCTGTTTGATAAAATCATTGTTAAAAGATGAAGTTGTTCTTGATCTGTTTGATAAAATCATTGTTAAAAG